TTAAGGCCTTGCCCACATTCTCTTGCTCAGACTTTAAAAAAAAAATTGTTGAAGTATAGTTGTTTTACATTTCTACTGTACAGCATAGTGACTCAGTTACATATTTTTTTTTCCTTATTCATTTCCATTCTGGCTGATCACAGGGTATTGAATACAGATCCCTGAGCTATACGGTGAGGTGTTGTTTATCCATCCTTCACATACCAGTTTGCACCTGCTAATCCCAAGCTCCCAGCACTTCCGTCCCTTACCCCCTTTCCTCTTTGGCAGCCACAAGTCTGTTTTCTTTGTCTATGAGTCTGTTTCCATTTCGTAGATGTGTTCATTTGTGTCATATTTTCAATTCCACATGTAAACAGTATCATATGATATTTGTCTTTCTCTTTCTGATTTACTTCACTTAGTATGATAATCTCTAGGTCCATCCATATAGCTGCAAATGGCATTATTTTATCCTCTTTTATGACTAAATAATATTCCATTGTATATGTATACCACATCTTCTTTATCTGTTCATCTGTTGATGGACTTTTAGGTTGTTCCCATGCCTTGACTATTATAAATAGTACTGCTATGAACATGGGGGTGCATGTATCTTTTCAAATTATAGGTATGTCTGGATATACTGCTGGATCATATGGCAACTCTATCTTTATTTTTCTGAGGAGCCTTCATACTGTTTTCCACAGTGGCTGCATGAATTTACATCCCCACCAAGAGTGTAGGAGGATTCCCTTTTCTCCACATCCTCTCCAACATTTGTTATTTGTAGACTTGATAATGATGGCCATTCTGACTGGTGTGAGGTGATTCGCGTTATTGCTCACATTTTGGGTGTTATTATTTGAATTGGCCCAAGTGCCACGCTTACCTGACCAAAGGCTCTTCATAGGAGAGGCCACAGTATGGAGGAACAGCAATAGTCACTTTGACTGTAGAGGCTAATTTCTGGATCCAGGACTTTGGTTTGTAAGTAAATAAAGGAATTTATTATAGATATTACTGGGTATCTCAAAGAATCAAAAGCAAAGGGAGATGTCAGTATTCAAGAAGGGTCAAGATGTGACGAGGCTTAAAGAAATCCTGGCCGCAGAATCACACTTATAGTACCAGAACTTCTGCATCTTGCTTCTTTGTTTTCCTGAATGCTGGCTTCCTTCTTTCTTATCACTGCACATTGACTTTCCCTGAATGACAGAACACATGACTACTGTGAATATTCTAGCCTTCTTTTTTTTTTTTTTCATTTTTTTTTATTAGTTGGAGGCTAATTACTTTACATCATTGCAGTGGTTTTTGTCATACATTGAGATGAATTAGCCATGGATTTACATGTATTCCCCATCCCGGTCCCACCTCCCACCTCCCTCTCCACCCGATCCCTCTGGGTCTTCCCAGTGCACCAGGCCCGAGCACTTGTTCTTATCTTAGAGCTTCAACCACACAGAGCAAGGCTGACCTTTTCAATTCCAATTCCAAAATGCTGGAGAAAAACTCTACTTGGATCAGATTAACAGGAACAAAGAAATGGAGTACCATTTGGATCCATTCAGCAAGTTGCCCAGTCAACCACTGTCTACAAGCAGTATCATATTGTACTAATATATGGGTTCTAGTAGTTTAAAAAAATTGGGTGGGACAGTTCTCAACAGAAGAGTTGCCAGCCTGGCTATTCCATAGATACCCACTGTTGCATGGATATACTGTAAAAATAATGCAAGGAAGTAGATGATTCTCACTTCTCATTTGCCCACAAATGCTGCCTATGGTCCTTGAGAATTTCCCATTAAAGCTGTTCATTCACCGTTAGAGAGGTCAGGATGATGAGCTAGCTGGAGCTGGTGAGGGAGCAGGGGATGACTGCACATGAAAGAGCAGAACAGAGAGCGTGCGCATCACAGAAGCATCACCAACGTGAAACCAAGGGCTCTGGACCTCCCAGCTCTTTTCAGATTAAATCCTTATGGTTGTCCCTACTGCCTCTCTTCTCTCCTGCCGTACACCTCTTTTTAATATTTTCTTTCATCATTTTTAAAACGAAGACTTTCTGCGTTGCTTGTAAGACTTCTGTCCTCCTTCAGCGAAGTAGTGCTCCACTTTAGGCAAAAGTTTAAAGTAATGCAGAGTGTCTGTCTTCAGAAATGTGCTGTTCCATGTCTTTTTGTTCTTTCTCTTAGAATAACAAAATCTGAGGATTGGAGTAAACCAACCTTGAGGGCCATCAAATCCTTCCATTGTTGTGCACATCCATGTCTGGCATCCATGTTGAGTGCTCATCCACACTGCTTGACCACATTCCAAAGGGAACACACCACTTTTCAGGAGAGTCCATTCTATGTTTAGATAGGTCTGACTGTTAGAAGTACTTCCTTGTATCAAGCTCCTACTGAGCCAAAAATGTGTCTTTCTCTGTTGCTTCCACCTGTTGGCCCTAGTTCTACCACCTGGAAACAAACAGAAAAGTCTAATCTGTTTCCTACATGCTCACTTTTCAGAAGATTCATCAGATGTTTGTCCCTAAGATCTTTCTTCTCCAGCTGAGCTACTGTTCGTCCTATATCTGTTCTCTGTTGCATGGGATTTCAAGTAGATCTATTAACAGGGACACTCTGTTCCAAAAGCTTTCCTTCCTTAAATGTTCTTCTTCATTCCTGCCCCCCCATAACCAGGCATAATCTTCCAGGGGTGAAAAAAACAGAACAAAAAAAACAGAACTAATAATGTCTTTTATTATAAATATAGAACTTCTATTCAAGAAAATCACATTTATCTTTTAGGAAGATCAAACCTAGGCAGAATCATTCTTATGCTGAAAATTATATAATAATTTATAATGAAATTCAAATTAGAAAGAGTATTTAAATTTTACAAGTAAATTTCGGGCCTCAGTAGTTGAAATGGAAAGGAAGTGGGGGAATTCATGAATTCTCATAGTTCTTCAAAGCACGTCTGCTTTACTTCCTTTATATGAACACAAATGCTAGTGCTATTCATTAAGTCAAAAACAGCAGGTATTGTAAGCCCACATTAAGCGATCATTTGATTCTTTTCTTTCTCTTCATAAAATCTGTAAGCTTAGCAAATATTTGTGTCCTGTTTACATACACACGTGCAGATGCACACACACGCACAAGACTCTGGGGTAAGCACTGTAGGGAACACCAGCCCTCAAGGGACTAACAATTAGAAGCTGTAAAATGAGGCTTTTGCTCCCTTCATTGAAAGGTACTGTGTCAGCCAGTGTGTTGAGGAAGAGCAAGAGGTTGCCATGTTGGATTGAGTGCCACAGTGGGTTAGTCTGAATAAACTCTTAACTTTTTTGTTCCAGAGCATAGCTAGAAGCAGAACCCAACTTAAGGGTGCTGGAGTAAAGTTTGATGGGTTAATCAGAGAAGCTCCAGCCTTCTCTAGGATATTAAGTGGTTATCCTAAAACAGGGACTGGTTGAGTCCTACCTTTATCTGTAGCCACTTACTGGTTGACCAGGGGAATTGATTATCTCAGAAAATGATACAGAGTATTATTTCCTATTGAAATATTTTCATACTATATATATTTACACTATACCCTCATGGGGCTTCCCTGATAATTCAGCTTATGAAGAATCCGCCTGCAATGCAGGAGACCCCGGTTCTATTCCTGGGTTGAGAAGATCCGCTGGAGAAGGGATAGGCTACTCATTCCAGTATTCTTGGGCTTCCCTTGTGGCTCAGCTGGTAAAGAATCCACGTGCAGTGTGGGAGACCTGGGTTCGATCCCTGGGTTTGGAAGATCTCCTCGAGGAAAGGCTACCCACTCCAGTGTTCTGGCCTGGAGAATTCTGTGGACTATATAGTCCATGGGGTCACAGAGTTAGACACGACTGAGTGACTTTCACTTTCATACCGTCATAGCATATATATGTGTGTAAATTCCAGGGCAGACAGATTTAAGATTTTGAATCTTAAATTTTAATGAGAAATAAATGGTGACTTTTTATAAAACTTATAGGCATACATGACACTCACTCTTTTTTTCCCTAAAAATGTCTGAATATGTGACCACATGTCAATATTGAAAACAACAGCTGTCCCATGCCCTGTGAGATTGCACATCAGCAGGAGAATTTGGTGAGCTCCAGTCCATAGGGTCACAGAGTTAGACACAACTGAGCGAGCATGCACCACCTCCAGGAAAGCTTGATACTTCTACTGTCAGGAACATGTCTCTGTCATTAGCCCTCCCTGACCTTCTTTCATCTCCATCAAGGAAGCCAAAAAAATTATGACTGATTTGGGACAGGGATAGGAGCCCTAGTTCCACAGCCATATAGATTGTTAGTTTCTCCTATGTTAGTGAAGCTAAAATTGAGGGTTTCGTCACCTGGTTAGCCTCTGAAGTCTTAGTCTAGTGGGCTCAGGTGTAGCCTTCACTTCATTTGGTGTCCACAGGAAAGAGATACAAGATGGTAGAGAGCTCAAGGCTACCAACCACACAACTTAAAAAATAAATTGAAGATTCCTTAGATTAAGGAGGGTTGAGTTTATCTTTAAGGTACAACTCATGATTATCTTTACAGCTTACCTAAGGGGTTCCAGTCTCAGCATCATTTATTCCTCTTCTGAATGTCATAGAACATATAAATGTAGAATTCATAGTCTCTCCATATTAGCGTTAAAACAAAGGAAGATTTCATGACTAATGAGCTGTATTGAATAGTTGGGAATATTTTAAGATAAGTTGCTTTATCCATCCTAATTCCCTTACTTATATGTGCGTGCTTGCTTAGTCATTCAGTCATGTCCAGCTGTTTGCAACCTCATGGACTGTAGCCTGCCAGGCTCCTCTGTCCATGGAATTTTCCAGGCAAGAACACTGGAGGGAGTTGCCATTTCCTCTTCCAGGGGATCCTCCTGAGCCAGGGATTGAACCTGTGTCTCTTGCATCTCCTGCATTGGCAGGAGACCGTGCCTGCTGGGAAGCCCTCCTTACTTACATAAATCTTTTCATTTCTCCAATAGGTTGTTCGGTTTTTACAAGGGGATTATACCACCCATCTTGGCTGAAACACCAAAAAGAGCAGTAAAGGTAAACAACATATGCCTTCCCATCAAGTGAAAATGGACTTAGTGCTTCAGCATTAGCACATCCCACAATAAACTATGGGACATTAATGGGAATTTAATGTGAAATACTAAAATTTTTATATAGAAATTATATTTTTTATCATTATTAGACTTGGTCATTCTCTCAAATATTGCTATATTGGTTTGTGGATTTCTTTCTCCAGGTAAAAAGCATTCCCTTCTAATGGCAAAATTACACAAAAATCACCATGGTGAATGAAATTCATGTAATCAAACCACAGCAGCCACAAAAGAGCTTGGACTTTTTCTCAAGGCAATTTGTAAACTTGCCTTTGGAGCAGTAATTAGTAAAAAAAAAAGAGAGAGAGGAAAGGAGAGGTAGAAAAACCTTCCCTAAATCATTCTCGTTTTATGAACAGAGTGAACTAATACATTATATTTCTTTGTGTGTGGTTCTTATATAACACATTTATTTGATGTGCTAACTTCATTTCTCCACCCTGGTCTCCTCTGTTAAAATATTCCATACTCGTTTTCACAAAAGTATTATCAATGCTTCCACTACATTGATTTCCATTCTTTAACCACAGAACTATGGAGTTTTTAAAAGATTTTTTTTAATGTGGACCATTTTTAAAGTACTGGATTTGTTACAATATTGCTTCTGTTTCCTGTTTTGGTGTTTTGGCCACAAGGCATGTGGGATCTTAACTCCCTGATCAGGAATCAAACTCGCAACCCTTGGGTTGAAACATGAAGTATCAACCACTGGACCGCCAGGGAAGTCCCACCTATGGAGGTTTATGCACTCCCTGCTGGTTCAGTATCTGGATATGAACATGGAGATCTAGCAGGACCTCCAGGGGAAAGTGAAAGTGAAAGTCACTCAGTCGTGTCTGACTCTTTGTGACCCCATGGACTATATAGGACTAATTCTCCAGGTCAGAATACTGGAGTGGGTAGCTGTTCCCTTCTCCAGGGGATCTTCCCAACCCAGGGATCGAACCCTGGTCTCCCATAATGCAGGCAGATTCTTTATGAGCTGAGCCACTGGGGAAGCCTCCTGATCTAGCAGGACCTCTAAGGGAAAAAGAAATAAATCTGATGATGCTGTTTTCTAGGTTCTTTCAGACAGAAGTCCTGATCACAGTGACTCTGATGGCCCTATCCCCTCCCCAACACCACTGCCATCACCAAATACAGCTTTGTCTTTCCATAATAAAGATAACATAAACTTAAAGACTTCCTTTCCAACTGATGACATAAAGCTTTTTTTGCACACATTACTCAATTTGTATTCCCAACATTCCTGAAAGGTAATGAAATGCAGCTTATATCCTTATACTCAGTTAATCAAGAAGATGACTGAGTTAAAAATTATGATTAAAAAAAAAACATATATATACAGACACCAAAATTTTACTCATGTGAAAACAGAGATATAATAGGATTTAATTCCGGTCTAGAGTGCAGAAAGCAAAGCTTTAAAACATACTTCCTCTATAAATTCACCTCTTCGTTGCCATAGTTTTTGTGATTTTACATTATTACTTCAATACAAATTTCTTTATGAGGATCTGAATCGCAATAGAGAATCTGGAAAAAGTTCACCAAAGTACACAAGAGGGCTGAATTGAATTATGAAATGGCTTCACTTGATAAAAGATTGCCCAAGTAAACAAACAGAGCATAGTTCCTGTTCAAGGAAAGTCACTTTGTCTCCATGGAATAATATATTCATTTGTTCAGAGTTTTACATGTATAAATAAAGTAAACTGTAATTACAGTTTTTCCTGGAATATTTTTCCTTAATACTATACATTGGAGACAATTTAAGCTTTTAGAGGATTAACGTTTATCAATGTTGAACAGTCTTTTATGGAAGAAAAAATAGTTGAGCTTTACAAAACTGAGCTAGTCTCTACTTTAAAAAAACAATGCTCCCTGCCAGAACAATGGTTAACAGATGAACTTTTGGGCAACTGGATATGGTGTATGTGTCCCAGACATCTTGTTTCAAGTAGATTTTACCTTAAAATTATTGAGACATATGGTAAGTATGTTGGCTTTTTAAGTATGACTTCGAGTTAAGTGTATCTTTGCCAGATGGATAGCACCAGTTTTTCAACACAATTTATGAAAACATTCCTTTTATAGATATTTATCTTAGGATTTGTGAGGAAAATGATCATCTGATTGCAACAATTTCATACATCATAAACTGCTTTATTGTATGCCATCACAGTTTACTTTGAAAAAATATTCAGGCCATAGATATATACACACACATATACATATGTATATATGGTCTCTGAAATTATGTATATATATATGTATGTGTATGTATATAGAGAGAAACAGAGACAATGTCTAGACACAGATCATTTTTGTCTGTACTTTATTCTTTGAAATTCATTTCAGCATTAAAATAATAATATTCATTGATGCTAAATAAATAAAACTCCCCTTCACAAATACAGACAGAGTGAGTATTGGAATTAGCAAAAGGAAATGAAGACCTCTGAAAGAGACCAGTTGGTTGCTCAGAGATGGCAGGCGCTGCGTGCTGGATTCCAGGATCTAGTTTTGAGCATCACAGGTCCGGAAACACCATCAGTTCTTGGTCAGATTCTCAAGGACTGCTTAATGCCAACCAAATTCACAAAATATTATATACTGTGAAGTCTATTTATTCACCTCTGTATCCTTTACACTTATCACAGTGCTTACAAGTAGATGTTCAATGGATATTAGATGAATAAATGAAACATATGTAACAGGAGCTTCCCTGGAGGCTCAGTGGTAAAGAATCTGACTGCAGTGCAGAAGACCTGGGTTCAATCCTGGGTTGGGAAGATCCCCTGGAGAAGGAAATGGCTACCCACTCCAGTATTCTTGCCTGGAGAGTCCCATGGACAGAGGAGTCTGGAGGGCTACAGTCCATGTGGTCGCAGAGAGTCAGACACAACTGAGCGAATAGCACTTTCACTTTCATGTAACAAGAAACAGAAAGAAAATTTATTACTTTATAACAGGAGAATTCCTGTCCTGTTCCCCCAAATTCCCACATCTACTATTCAGAGTTTCCGAAAGGCTGAGACTTCCATTTCCAGCCAAGATGAAGTCACAGGGACCAGATTTACTCTGCTGCCTGAAACAGCAAAAACAGAAAATGAACAAAATATATGAAACCAGAATATTTTTAAGACACTGGACATTAAACAAAGAGGGAGAGTCATACCTGAGATGCAAAACAGATGAGAAGTGCCCTGAAGATCGCCCCAACTCACTGCCTTGAGTTCTTAGCTCAGGAATACACAGGAGAAATCCAGTTGACTCCCTCAACCAGTGGACTCCCTGGGTTGAGAAGGAGCTGAGAGGCTGGGAGGGAAAGGCATCTCTAGAGTTCGCAGGACAGAGCACCAGAGACAGATCTGCACAGAGAGAGATACCTAAGATCCGCAGAGGGACACCTCCGGTATCCAGCTGACCAGTGCACACATGAGGAGACTAGCAAGGTCTGGAAAGAGTGGTCAGAAGGGTTCGCGGGAACAGTGCTGGGCAGTCACAGAGGACTGGGAATAGTGCCTGTTATCACCAGCCAAACTGGGAGGCTTCAACACTTATAGGACATTGAGAGCGGTACCCAGAAGGGTTTGCTTCTGTGATGGGGAATAGTCAGTCCTAGTCTGGGCACTTCTCAGGGCCTACTTGTTAAAAGTATGACCCAAATGGATCACTGTTTCCCTGTAATGTAACTGCCTCTCAGAACAGATGATCTGGGAGTTCAGCTTACTCATCAGATTGTTTAGTGAGCAATGAAAGCACCCTCCAGAGGGCTGGGTCACCCAGGCAAACCATGCCGACCTCCCCTGTCCAACCACAGCTTGACACTTCTCCAGGGACCACACAGCCTGTCCTCCAGGTCCAACCCATCTCCCAACCAGACTACCAATTTCAAGGTTCCAATAGATAGATTATGTATACCATAGTAATTTGGATTCCAGATTTTATATTCAAGATTCCCAGAACCTTGACTGACTATAAATGTTTTCAAAACTCTTTAGTACACATTTGCATGACTTTGAATAGGTAACATTACTACATGTTGTTGTTATTGTTCAGTTGCTAAATCATGTCCAACTCTTTGCAATGCCAGACTGCAGCACTCCAGACTCCTCTGTCCTTCACTATTTCCAGTGATGCCATCCAACCATCTCATCCTCTGTCACCCCTTCTCCTCCTGCCCTCAATCTCTCCAAGCATCAGGGTCTTTTCCAACGAGTAGCTCTTGACATTAAGTGGCCGAAATACTGGAGCTTCAACATGTTGACTCTCCTAATTTCATCCTTAGAGTGTAATCTCATATCTTATGTGATAGGGTAACTTTATCACTTCTCTGCACTAAATATCATGAAGGCAGTAAAGTATTAGTGCTGCATAGAAAGGAATTAAAATAACAGTTAACCTACTAGTTCTTAAGAATGTAGTCTAGTATAATATCTTCTAAACTTTACACATGGGAGACATCCAATAAATATCTGTTGAATAAACAAATATTTTTAGCTAATAATGGGTTTCACATTGTAATGACATTATTTTAATTTTGTTGGAAATCCATTTTAAAAGATTTTGACTTTTCCTTTCTCGAGATATTATTTTATTTTATATTCAGTAATTTAGACTTTGGTTGCAAAGGTAGAAATTAAAACAAGTCTTTTTTTTGTACTTCAAAGCACTATTTGTTTATTAGAATATGTATATATATTGTTCATTACTTTTGGATTTAATCTATTAGCAACTTATCACTGATATATGAGGCTTCTTTATTGCCAGGAACCTGAATCACTTCATCCCAGCCATAACCAGAATCTTCCAGCCAAACTGCTGATGAGTACCAACCAGCTAGCAGTAGCTTTTCTTTTTTTTTTTTTAAACAGTTTTAGAGATAGGAAAATGAAAAGCCTAGAATTGCCCCAAAGTGTAGACTTGGAATTCCCTGTGAGAACTGCTTAGAGTTACAGATCAAGTCCGGGATTCCCTGGTAGCTCAGCTGGTAAAGATTCCACCTGCAATGCAGGAGACCCTGGTTCGATTCCTGAGTTGGGAAGATCCCCTGGAGAAGGGATAAGCTACCCACTCCAGTATTCTTGGGCTTCCCTGGTGGCTTAGTCAATAAAGAATCAGCCTGCAGTGTAGGAGATCTGGGTTTTATTCCTGGGTTGGGAAGATTCCCTGGAGGAGGGCATGGCAGCCCACTCCAGCATTCTTACCTGGAGAACCCCCAAGGACAGAGGAGCCTGATGGTCTACAGTCCGTGGGGTCACAAAGAGTAGGACATGACTGAGTGACTAAGCACAGCCCAGCACATCACAACACATCACAGGTCAAGTCCATGTTCCCACACTTCTTCAAGATCTGTTTGGTCTATAATTTTTTTTCATGACAGAAAGTCAGAAAGAAAAAATGCATACTCACACTGGAAGGGAACAAGGTAGTGAGGCATGCTGCGAGGTCCATCCTCTCCCAGAACTTCCCTGAACTCACATGTTTAGAGCATGTTTCCAAAATATGGGCCATGACCTGTGAGCTCTGAAATCAATGTAGTGGGTCACCAGAAAAAAATTTCTGATGAAATAGAGTAGAAACAGAATGCATTACCCCTCTTCACATAGTGAAGTGGTAAACATTGTTTTATAGCAGTGTTTTGTTTCAGTTGTAAATGTGAGTATGTGCTGCATGCATGTATGTATCTGAGTTGGGTAAATAATTTTTACCTAGATTGTGGTCAGAAAAGTTTGAAATCTTCTGCCTTAAGGAACTCAGCTTCTGGGGTCAGGGAAGGCAAGAAGATTTCAGCAGGAAGAAAACTGTAGCACAGAGAATCTCTTCCCAAACCACTGAAAATCGTGGCTCACCAGTGAGCAGTATAGTGGCTGAGAGCACACCCAGGCTTTGGAGTTGGACGTAGTGAGAAACCTCCATGCTTCGACTCCCCAGCTGCAGGACAGATATCTACAAATGGAAATCATGATTGTGCTATAACCTGTCTTATGGATTTAAGGCAGTAGCATGTGCAAAGGCCTTAGCATGTTTCCTGGACCGCAGCAGGCTCTTGTGAATGATCCATGTCAGTAAGGCATCTATGGTTCCTTTAGTCCCAAAGTGAAGAAAGGAAATGGAAACTATGATTTTCTGAAAGTCTCCTGCGTGCCGGGACTGTCAAGAAATCTTCCTCAAGTTCTCTTATTTAAGGACTACTCTAGAAGTGAAGTCTTACGTCCTCAAGGTCAGAAAGGTCAAGCTATGCTTCCAGAGCTAAGTCAGGATTCAAACCTAGAACTGCTTATGTCAAAATCCACACAAAGTGATTATCAAAGAATTGTTATGATGATGACCATGAGAAGAAAGAAAAACATAATTTATTTTTTAAACCCAAGACCATAACCCTTTTCCTTTTAATCATTTCTAGTACATCTCTCATCAAAACTGTGATGGCTCCTGGTGTTACTAGTTGAACATCAGGATAGTTTCAGGGTTATTACCATCCACTAGAATGTTAAACCAAGAAAGCAAGGGTTTCTCTTTGTTTATGCTGCATCCCCGGTCTTAACCAAGAAATATTTGTCAAATCAGTGAAAGAATGAATTCCTGTTCTATGGAAGTCTACATCCATAGGTGATCTAAAGGACCATAGCACAAAAATCATTCCTGAGTCTTTAAAAGAATCAATCTATCTGGTGACATAAAGACCTTTGAACTGCCCAAAGATTCAGGAGAGCCACATCTACATGTAACTACCTCTTTCTAACAACAGAATATTATCTGGCTTTCAAATCTACGGTTTTTTATTGTTCCATTGTACTGGGTTATAAAGTAGTAGAGTAGAAGACATTTAAGACCATAAAATGCCCATGCCATTTCTGTAGTCTTGAGAATCAGACCCTAGCAGGACCTAAGAGTGTGTTTTATCGGTGATTTTGGCAGGGTACCTAACAGAGAATCCAGGGGCAAAACATCATGTTCAACCAGATTGTTGTCCAAAATGCATAGCATAGAAAGAGAGGAGAAAAATTTATTTGGGTCATATTATACAAAGTGACTGATTAGATTTGCCTCCATAGACATCCCTTCACAGAGAAAATTATATTAAACATCAACTGTTGAAAGAACCAACAAAATCTTCATCATCATCATCATCATCATCATCAGATTTTAAAGGGAAGATTAAACAGCTGTTTATTCATTCAGATTCAGGACAGTTTTACTTTCAGGCAGGGGACAGATTAGATGTGTCCTTGCTGGGTCCTTTCCTAGTTTATCATGGCATCTTCATCATTATTGAGTGTTTAGAAATCCCATGGGACAATAGAGATACACAGCAATATAAATGCGAGTTACAGCCGAGAAGTGGGTGTCTTTTACAAGGGGGTTAGAAAATTGGGCATTCACTGGGAAAGCAGGTTATAGAGAAAACATAGGAGACCGAAGACTTCAGGTCTCTATGCCTGTAATTTTGAATCACTGCCATAAAAAAGAAGTCTATTGATGTCTAGGGAAACTGAAAATGGTCATGGTAAATGGCAGCTGTATGGTTCATTTACTGCTATAAAGGATTCCATCTTCTCTTCTGTAGGTTATTATAGCTGCATTTAAAAATGTGAATGTTCAAGTAAGATTCAATAGCAACTACCCAAGACTGGATTAAAAACTGTGCTCAATGGTTTATCATTTTTTAAGTTACTAGTGAATATAATGATTTACTAAAGAAATTTGAGTCAATTTAAAGGTTTGTTGCAGGAAATTGTTATAAATCTCTGAGTTTGGTTTTGTTTCACAGTTTTTCACCTTTGAGCAGTACAAGAAATTGCTTGGATATGTGTCACTGTCACCAGCATTGGTAAGTGAGAGTATTTATTATACTTAAGTGTGTGTGTTATTTCATAAAGCAAAATCTGGAAACAAAAACCCTTTTGATTCCCCAAGCTCAGCTACTAAAATATGAATTTGAGTTATTCAATGTTCAGCTACTTGTTGAAAGCCATCTTCCTAATAACTCACAATTTGGCTATTTTATAGCTCCCAGTGATGAATTTATGATAATAATGATATGTGTGGAAAGGCCCATATGAGATATGGTCAAGAATATAAAATAAAGGGTGCATTTGTCAAAGACTCCTTTAAACCCCCAAAATGCATGTGTTTACATACATACTACACATATCTATTTATGTGAAAGTCCATGTACCTAAAATTATTTCCTAACGGGTCACTTTTCCAGCTCTTGCTCAAGCTGTAGTTAAGTATAGGACTTCAGGTCACTCTGTGGTCAGATGCCCACTGAGAAGCCTTTTATAGTTGGGGAGAATAGTGATCTTACCATGTCAGATCAACTATTACGATAAAAGTCATTTGGTGATTTGAATATTTGTAGATACCACTCCTTTCTTTCTTAGTGATTTTGTTGCTTTTCACAAAACAAGTTAAATTATATTGGCCAAGTATGCTCTATTAGTATGAGTGCAGCAAGAGCCCCAGAAAGAGCCAGTGCAATAATTTCTCCTCAAAATCTGCAAAACACGACTAAACTAAACTAAATCTACCTTGGCCCTCCAAGTGACAACATGCCTTCCAACCTCTACGAATGTACCTGACAATGTACCTTCCATCCTCCAGTTTACCAGATGGAATGCACCGCAGAGCTCAGCCAAAGGGGTGGCGTTCTGAGCTTCTGCTCTTTATTTACTTTGCATGCTCAGTCGCTTCACTGTCCAACTGTTGGCAACCCTATGAATCCTAGCCCACCAGGCTTCTCTGTCCATGGGATTCTCCAGGCAAGAATACTGGAGTGGGTTGCCATGTTCTCCTCCAGGGGATCTTCTGGATCCAGGAATTCAAAACTGTGCCTCCCACAGCTTCTGTATTGCAGGGGGATTCTTTACCGCTGAGCCACCGGGGAATCGGTAATTCACTGGGCTTCCCTGGTGGCCCAGTGGTAAAGAATCCACTTGCAATGCAGGAGATGCAGGTTCTACCCCTGGGTCTGGAAGATACCCTGGAGAAGGAAATGGCAACCCACTCCAGGATTCTTGCCTGGGAAATCCCATGGACAGAGGAGCCTGGCAAGCTACAGTCTGTAGGGTCGCAAAAGAGTCAGACACTACTGAGCAACTAAACAACACCAAAGATTGATTAAGAATTAGCTGCTATTTAAAAATAATCACACATGCTCCCTTCCTAGGAAGGCTCCAGTTAAGAAACCCAATAGTGCTGCTTTGTGTTACGACAAGGAAACCTCTGGTCCTGCTTAAACAAGGGGGCTGTGAGGAGGCTCCTCCTGGAAGGAGAAGTGGTAGTATGGGTCCTAAAATTAGCTGAGATTTCTTGTTAATTCCTCAGTGTCTTCCCTGAATGTCTCCCTTCGCTTTGGAAACATCTTGTTAAAAAGAGGATGGTTTCCAGCGGGTCAGCTGGGTGCTCCTGGATAGAGCACCTGTACCATGTGAGAGACCATGCTTCTTTCTTGCTAATTCAAAAAGAAAAGCATTTGGCCACTCCAGATCCTCTCACTGAATTCATGCAAACTGTATACAGTTTTTCTCTTTTCTTGAACTCATTTATTTCAGTTTCTCTTTGATGCAGCTAGACACTTAAACAGCCGTTAAATGTCCCTTGGTGCTCTCACTTGAAGAGCCTGGGAGGCTGGGAACCTGACGGTTACCGCTGATCTCTGGAACAGCCTGAGTAACATGATATACTGATAGCTGATCAATTCTTTTGACAAGGGGCTGCTGAACACTAGTTCTGACAGCAAATGTAGCTGAGTTTTATAGAAGAACAAAAAAGTGAATTACTTGGAAGGGTGCATATAGTAATAAAAACCTGAACATCTGGATTTTAGCTTTTTTCAGTCAGAAGAGTTTGGGACTAGTATTTTTCTTTTTCTTCTGCTTTTGGCTTCCATGATGGGAGTCTGAGATAAATGAATAAAATATTTGGTCTGTTACCCTATACAGATATGTTTAAAATTGTGATGAAGGGGCATTACAGGAAAACATAGTTAGTTATTCTCTCCTGAAATCTGTGTGAAATTTTGTTCTTCCTCTTTGTACAACAGTGGTCTTTAGTAGCAGTAACAGCAATTTACAGGAGCCTTTCACACATGATTTTGACCCTCATAATAATCTTATTAAATACAAAGATTAGATATTATAATCTCCATTTTACAGATGAGAAAACTGTGACATAAAAAATTCATTGTTTTTTTTTTTCATGGAAAGGCATTTTATTTTAAATATAGTAATGTGTAAACGTCAATTAGTAATGTGTACACGTCAATCCCAAAACCCCGAGTTATCCCTCCCCTCCTCCCCTCTGGTAATAATGTTTGTTCTCTAAGTATATGAATCTGTTTCTGTTTTGTAAATAAGTTCATTTGTATCATTTTTTTTTAGATGCCAAATATAAGTGATATCCTATGAGATTTGTCTTTGTTTGACACATTTCACTTAGTAGTAATTTCCAGGTCCATCCATGTTCCTGCAAATGACATTATTTCATTCTTTTTAATGGCTGAGTCATATTCCATTGTATATATGTACCACATTGCCTTTAAAAGATTCAGTTATTTATACACAGGGTTGCAGCTGACACACATGGTGTTTTGTGTGGATTATAAAAAGGTGCTCCTTTCTCCTGACTGGTGCTTTTCCAGAACTCCCACTTGGCAAACAGGGTGCAGGCTGATTTCAGCCTCCACATGCACCTTTGTGCATAAACTACTCTACGTGGCAGCTCTGGTCACACAGCCAATAAGATGGCAGAATCAGAACCTAAACCCAGACCTCCTGGCTCTGGATCCTGCCCTGGTTCCATCTTGTCTCCCCTTCTAAGGATCTAGAGCATTGTTTTTTCTCTTTTCTCTTTTAGTCTCCTATTACAGACTCCTAATAAGAGCTTCTGTTCTTTACTCTTCATTGGCTTTTTTCTTCTCCTAGTTGTATATAGTATAACTCTTCTCCTGGAGTTAGAGCTTCAGCACTAAAGAATTATTTTTTCCAGCATCTGTTTTGAAGGTTTGAGACTGTTTTATTTTGTTTTCCTGCTGGGTGTGTGTGTTTTAATAGTTGTAGTTATTTAAGTTTCTGAAAAAAACCCTTCAGCATTCTATTCAGAAGAAAATTCTAGAAAGTTGTTCTTACCTAGTGCAGAAATTCTTAACAGGTAGAAAATAACCTGAGACACAGCTGCCTCTTGCTGAATGTTCTAGATTTTATTTGAGCCCTTCAAGACAACCTAGCAATTTCTGACCTCAGCCTTTATCCCTCGGCTTCTAGGTCTAGAAGAATAGGGCCCAATTAAAAAAAAAAAAAAAAACAGATAAAGGATGAATTTTGAAATTATTTTTGTTTCTTAACTTCCTAGAATAATGACTCTAAGAATGTGGCTATATATTTAAATATTTTCAACTATACTCTTTGGTTACCTGAAAATTAGCTTTTTATAAACATTTTATTTCTGATTCTGCTCCTTGAATTTTTTATATGTTCACTAAATGTATTTAAGCAGCTGTTTAAAAATGAAGCTCTCCTTTTACTAAGTCAAACTCTTAGTTGTTACGTGTGCAGGTGTTTTAGTATCCACCTTAAATACATAAAACAACCTTGCTTTTCATTAAAGGACAAAGTCATTGTTGATGGGGCTTTGTCGTTTTATTTTGAATTTTTAGGATGTGGTTTGTGGCTTCTGTAATTTCTGCTTCATGAATTGTCAGCATCGAATCAAGATCTAAAGCTGTTTAGTAATGGTATATGGTGCATTTATGTGAGTTTCTCCATTCTCATTATACCATTCAGCTGCATAGTGTAATGAGTAAGATGTTTAACCTCATATACATGATAACTTGTTTTAAAGTATTGATTGACTTAATTTTTCTAGACATTTGCCATTGCTGGACTGGGATCTGGACTAACAGAAGCCATCGTGGTCAACCCTTTTGAGGTAGTAAAAGTTGGCTTGCAAGCCAATCGGAACAGATTTACAGAGGTAATCATTTAATGTTTTCCTATTGTTGAGGGAATGTAAAAAATTATTTTTCAGTATACAATATAAAATTATGAACCCTGCTCCTAGCCACTTGCTAAAGCCATAGTAACTTATTGTTAAGGAAGTAGCATAAGAAAAAGTCCAATTTCTTCCACAGGAAAGTGCTAACAAAAAAGCACTAAAGTCTGATAGACAAACATGTTTAGACATTTTTATTTTAGAGTTGTAATGTAATATGTAGTGACTTATTTGGAGATATTTTCTCTACTTTTGGCAAAACCTCTGTTTCACATTTTACTAGAATAGACTGTAGCAAAAAACCACTGAGGTGATAATATTGTTGAGCTTTTTTAAAAAAAAATTCTGAAATCATTTTTTCAAAATTATTTCACTCCATTCCCCACTCCACCCACTGCCCTCCTCCAAAGATTCTGATAATCTGTCAAGCTTGTCTTTTGGTTAAATCTGAATGAGCAGGTTACCAAACCTGTGTAGACATCACCACTTGGACAGTGATGGGTCTTGACATTTAATCACTGGTACATGATGTTCCATGAAGACAGCTTCCCTTGGTCTGTGCTGCCTTCACTTCCTTCGGTTGCCTGATAATTCCCTTTAAACCACCAAGTCCAATTGTTCTTCTTTTATTCTTTTGGGTGCCAAGCCAAAGGTAGGAAAAAAATAAGGAGATTGGCAGTTCAGATCCTTTCTTAGCATTTGAATTCACTTCCACAACTCGGTAGCATGTGGTATAAATTGGTCTGGAGTATCTGCTGACCTGAATTTCTCCGTAGAAAAGCTCCCCTGCCTACCACTTAAGCAGCTGCTAATGGGTGGAGACCCCGCGCTCCCACCCCACTTCCTGTCTGCTGATACTGCCTGAGAGCTCTCTGGCAGCTTCCTGAGCCGGGCTATGGGAAAGAGAGAGAGCCCTACTCACCTTAGCTGCCAAGGCCTGTGGAGGACAGGGCTGGGCTGCTACAGCTCCTCAGATGAGGTCAGTCCTAATTAAGGGAGATTTTTTTTTAAGTTTCAAAAGGTTGTCCTAATTGCAGAGATACACAGCACTTTAGAAAAGGCTGAAAATTCCTGTGTTGCCCTACTCTGATTCTGTTTTGCTTTTTCTCTGTTCTTCCTTGAATGATGGGAAAAGATGGCAGGGACCAGAAGGAAATAAAAAGAAACACTTTTTCAATGTCCTATCAATATGGAGCATTTAAGACAGCCCCCATGGAATGTGCTCAAGGAAAATTTGATTTGTTAGACTGGGAGAATTACCAGCTAGAAGAAGATTTGGAGCTCCCCATCAGTGTCCCATTTTACCCATTGGGAAGCATGTCTTGGGGCAGGAAGGGGTGAGCAAAAGAATACACAGGCCTTCCAACTGCAGTCCTTCATCAAGACAGAGTGTAACACAAAATGGGACAGAGCACTGAGAAGCATTCACAAGAGTGAAAATAACAAATTATCATAGCACCTCTATTCAAGCCTATTGTTCTTTTTCTCTCCTCTGCCTTCAAGGAGGTTCTGCACTGAGGCCATGTAAGTGCTGGTTATGTTTTGCATGTGCCAAGGCCTTGCTAGAACATATTAAATGCCCTTGCAGCCCAACACAAAAATGCTGCATGTGCACGTGCTCCTAGTTCATTGACCTAGTGTGGTCTGTGTAAATTGTTGGTGTATATGCAACTGTTTGTTTAAGTTGGGGAGAGAGGAGAACTTGTTTGGTGTTATTTCTTTTGCAGAATTCACTAAACTGCATTCAGAATTCATTTACTTAGACAAAATACAATCTATTAGGTTCCTTATAAAATGTTTGTTATATGACATCAACTAGTCAGAACTTAGTAACAGAGGGATCACGTAGGTCACAGGTGTCAGCATTTATTTCCAGCAGTTACTAGGATTCAGTAGCTGATCAGAGGAAGCACTTTATAGGCAATAGTGATCAAATTGAAAAGTAGTGCATAGTCACCCAACATAAAGTAACAGGGTTATGCCTATTACCAAAAAATTCTGAGAGAAAGAAGTGACTTGATCAGTTCAGTTCAGTTGCTCAATTGTGTCTGACTCTTTGTGACCCTATAAACCACAGCACGCCAGGCATCCCTGTCCATCACCAACTGCCGGAGTCTACCCAAACCCATGTCCATGGAGTTGGTGATGCCATCCAACCATCTCATCCTATGTCGTCCCCTTCTCCTCCTGCCTTCAATCTTTCCCAGCATCAGAGTCTTTTCAAATGAGTCAGCTCTTTGCATCAGATGGCCAAAGTACTAAAGTTTCAGCCTCAGCATCAATCCTTGCAATGAGCACCCAGGACTGATCTACTTTAGGATGGACTGGTTGGATCTCCTTGCAGTCCAAGGAACTCTCAAGAGCCTTCTCCAACACCACAGTTCAAAAGCATCAATTCTTCGGCACTCAGCTTTCTTTATAGTCCAACTCTCACATCCATACATGACCACTGGAAAAACCATAGCCTTGACTAGACAGACCTTTGTTGACCAAGTAATGTCTCTGCTTTTTAATATGCTATCTAGGTTGGTCATAACTTTCCTTCCAAGGAGTAAGTGTCTTTTAATTGCATGGCTGCAGTCACCATCTGCAGTGATTTTGGAGCCCCCAAAATAAAGTCAGCCACTGTTTCCACTGTTTTCCCATCTATTTCCCATGAAGTGATGGGACTGGATGCCATGATCTTAGTTTTCTGAATGTTGAGCTTTAAGCCAAAACTCTCCTCTTTCATTTTCATCAAGAGGCTTTTTAGTTCTTCGGTTTCTGCCATAAGGGTGGTGTCATCTGCATATCTGAGGTTATTGATATTTCTCCCGGCAATCCTGATTCCAGCTTGTGCTTCCTCCAGCCCAGTGTTTCTCATGATGTACTCTGCATATAAGTTAAATAAGCAGGGTGATAATATACAGCTTTGAAATACTCCTTTTCCTATTTGGAGCCAGTCTGTTGTTCCATGTCCAGTTCTAACTGTTGCTTCCTGATCTGCATACAGGTTTCTCAAGAGGCAGGTCAGGTGGTCTGGTATTCCCATGTCTTTCAGAATTTTCCACAGTTTGTTGTGATCCACACAGTCAAAGGCTTTGGCATAGTCAATAAAGCAGAAATAGATGTTTTTCTGGAACTCTTGCTTTTTTGATGATCCAGCAGATGTTGGCAATTTGATCTCTGGTTCCTCTGCCTTTTCTAAAACAAGCTTGAACATCTGGAAGTTCATGGTTCACGTGTTGCTGAAGCCTGGCTTAGAGAATTTTAAGCATTACTTAAGAACAACAAATTTCAAATCTAGTCATTTAAAACCAACTACCATTTTGGGCAAGTGCAGATTGAGAGCAGGAGGAGAAGGGGACGACAGAGAATGAGATGGTTGGATGGCATCATTGACTCAATGGACACGAGTTTGAGCAAACTCCAGGAGATAGTGAAGGACAGGGTAGCCTGGTGTGCTGCAGTCCATGGGGTCACAAAGAGTCAGACACAATTTAGTGACTGAACAATAGCAAATGTGATAATATACACAAAAGTCTTAATAGAGTCTGGTACATTATAGGCACTCAACCAATAACAATTTCTAGATGTAAATTGACCCTATAAACCCTTAAGGTTTAAGAAATAGATCTATCTTGAGATATGTTCTAGTTAATAGTCATAGCCCACTCCAGCTGTGGGTGTGAAAACAGCTTACTTGGCAATGGTTCCCTTAGGTCATTCCCAACTGCCAATACAATCCATTTAGCCTGAATTCTTAAGGGCAGGCAGCCCAGCTTCAGTATCTACTGAGGTCTTTAAACTCACATGAGGTCTGTTATCATAAACAGTAGTAGTTGGTTTACTGTTTACTGTAAATAACTTGCATGTAGCAGCAAAAGTTTGAGAGGAAACTAAAAACATTTTGAAGCCACTTTGGAAAGAATTCTACCTCCATCAATATGTTCTTCCTTCAGAAGAGTCATATAAAGTAAGCATGTATTCTTCATCAAGCTTCATGGTCACCTCACCTGGAGGTTGTGAACGAAGCTCATTTTCAGCCTTTTCAGTCAATTACTAGCTGTGGTTTTAAAAAAAAGATACCCCATGCCAAGGGCAAAGGAGAAGCCCAAGCAAGACAATGGGGGGGGGGGGTGGCGAAATCACATTTAGAATCAAACCCCATACCCACCAGAGAAGCTCGGAGGGCTCAAACAAAAACCTGGTGCATGCTAGGACCCAGACCCCACAGAGACTGAGCTAGACCTGCCTTTGAGTGTTTAAGTATCTCCCATGGAGGCACGGGTCAGCAGTGACTTGCCACATGGGCAGGGGCTCTGGGCGCAGCAGATCTGGGTGATACAGCATGTGGCCTCTTGGAGGAGGTCGCCATTAACCCCACCATAGAGCCGCCAAGCAGACAACCCACAAACTGCAGAACAATTGTACCAAATAAATTCTGGCACTGTTAAGAAAGTTCTAGGACCCACAACAGATTTCCCAACCTGGGGATCTGGCAAAGGGACTGAGAATCCTCAGGGAATTTGACATTGGAGGCCAGTGGGATTTGATTACAGTACTTCCACAGGACTGGGGAAACAGACTCTTGGAGGGCAGAAACAAAACCTTTTGCATACCAGGACCCAGGAGAAAGGAGCAATGACCCCACAAGAGACTGACCCAGACTTGCCTGTGAGTGTCCAGGAGTCTCCATCAGAGACAGGGTCGACAGTGGCCTGCTGCAGGGTCAGGTCAGGGGCACTGAATACAACAGTGTATGCATAAGACCTTTTGAAGGAGGTCCCCACAGTCTGCATTACCCCTATCACAGTTTGGTCTCAGGTCAAACAACAGGGAGGGAACACAGCCCCACCCATCAATAGAAAATTGGATTAAAGATTTACTGAGCATGGCCCTGCCCATCAGAACAAAACCCAGTTTCCCCCACAGTCAGTCTCTCCCATCAGGAAGCTTACAGAAGCTTCTTATCCTTATCCATCAGAGGCCAGACAGAATGA